TTTTTTCAGAAATTGCCGACTTTAAGATTGAAACAACTTGAAGCACATTGAACGCCTCACAAACACTTGAGCTTGACCAAACAGTTTTTTGAAATCCAACCCTTTGTTGAAACCTGGAAAAATATATGTAAAAAAACACTGTATTTGTGGTCCAGGTCTACCTCTCCGGGGACGCCCCATCGTAACATATTGTTTTTGGTCAAGCATGGCACTTTTGCCTGCACATTGAAAAATCACAAGGCTGATAATATATCAACACATGCAAAATCATCGCATAAAAGTTCCTTCATTGTCCTTGATCCGGTATGGTCATTTGTTGTGCAATTCATCAATGATACCGGTCCTGAGGAATTCCGAAATGTTTACCAATGTTAAAAACGCGGCGACTCCATCTATGGCATATTTGTGTATTCGGGTGGGGACCGGGGATTAATGCGGTTGTGTATCTGGAGGGAGGTCTCCAACCAATGGATGTTTTTCTTCCAGAGTCTTTGGGGGTCTCCCTGTATGTTTAATTCAACCGCAATATTTCATGCATGGAGTATCATGGAGTGTTTGTGCTCTTCATTGGATCTATTTTCTTTGGATTCACCCAGAGCTACTTGGAGGCTTCACATCCAAAAAACACGTGATTTGCCTCGCCGCGCAGATCCGCCCTTTGCGAGATCGTGTGGAAACCCAGACGGTGTGGCTCGAGGGGAAGAATGCAGGGCCCGAACCAACAGATGGCAATTCACAGGGTTTGGTTTGGGCCCGAACTGGAGGGTCTAAGGATTTACAGTAGTCCTCCTGGAATGGATAGAGGAAACACATGGAAACACCTGTAACTTATTGCAAAAAGCACAGAGATGATCCTCATTGATCTAGTATTGTGATATGTTGCGCCATCTTTCTGTCCAACAAGACCCAACCATACTGAGACATTGAGAAGGGAAATGGCTTGACCCGTATCGAAGACACGCCACAGAAGCGATCTGTTGTTCATGGATGCAAGCTCAGCAGGAAAAGCGGTAAGTTATCTCATGTTTCCTTAAATTGAGGTATCCCACACGGTTCGAGGATTTGAGTATGAACATGAGGATAAACTACATCGTTATTTACTCTCTTACAATAAATATATATATATATATATGTATGTGTGTTTCTTTTCAGTCCTCACCGTCTTCGGCAGCTCGCCTTGCAGCAACATGGTTAATCCACAGAGGTCTTTCTGTTGATTCCGCCGACTGACTGGTGTTCAGTAGGGATTAAGCTCTGAAGAGAAACTCCTTTGGATTAAGCCACCCTCATTCGTCATTCCTGACGAGTGCACTAGTCAGCTGATCACAGCCCAAAGGATCGTCCGATTCGCAGAGACAACGGCGACAGGCTGCGGATCGTTCGGTGCGGATCATTCCGGATGAAAACCACGGATCGGCGCCAACCGAAGATGTCCTTAACCCACTGGGTGTCCGGGTGTCAATGATTGTCATATCTTCAGAGCCTCGCGTGTGCGGTAACCTGCACGTGGGCGGTGCCAACTCATTTTCAGCCGAAAGCCTCTTCGGGCTCAAAACTGAATCACATGGCAGATCAAGAGCCGGGAGAAACAGACCACGGTGTGCAGGTTGGAGCTCAAACTCATTGACCCACTCGTTTTGCAGTAGATGACAATGATGACAATCTCTTTTATACTGGGTGGATCTGGGTGGTGGTTTCGGATATTTTGTTGTTCAACCTTTACTTGGGTTGTTTTCTACCCGCTAGGCTCTATAGTAGTATCACGACGACAAACCGACCAGCAGTTGGAATTGAAGCGACCTGGGATGTCTTTTACCCGGCGCTGAATCACTCACCCAGCGAAGAATCACTCACCCAGATCAGCCACATTTGACTGAAGCACCGCTCAGTCCGTACAGCTGAATCTCTCAAAGAGACGAAGCGAAGCCCGCGTTTTTGAGGGTTGATTGACGGTGGCGAAATTCCGGACGTAGCCAGGCTGCAAGGTTGAGTGGAGTCGTTCCTGCCAGTCTAAGGATGTACTGATACATGTTGATGTTTCGTGTTTGCCGAGCTGTGTTTTTGGGGTATAAGAGTATCCAGTAGAATGAGGATGTTGACCTATGGGGCAGAGACTATATATATGCATACTCCCTTGCCAAACTAGTCTTGTGTGAATGTTTGACAATGGTGATCTCAGGTGGTCTAAGTTCTTAACTCCAAATTCCAGGAGCATCCTGTTCGGGTGTCCTGGCAGGACTAACCCTACACTGCCTATAAGTGATCTGGCTTACATCCATCGGATGGTCTGGCTTAGAGCCTCTTCCGGCGATTGAAGTCGGGAAGGAGGTGGGGGGACAGGTGGAATGCATTTCTTCAGCCGGTGGGTCCAGCTCCAGTTACTCTCCCTGGAGCAGTCCCATGGTTACGTGGAGTGAAAACTCACCTGTCACCCTCCTGTTTGCAGAGGAAAATGGCCTTCCTTTCAATGCACGTATATAAAAGTGTTCACCACCCCGAAAAGGCCCGTTTTGGAATGCTACGCTTGTGTAGTTGCAAATCAGCGACGTGGCAGATCAGAAGCGCATCAGCCAGCCGTGTTTGTGGGGTACCTGCACTCGAAGTTCAGTGTCCTCCGTTAAAGTGTTGTTACAACGTTTGGGCCGTTGGATATCGAAACATATCCTGTGAATGCGTCGGATGCTATATAGATTTATATAGTCCTTTGATGCTCGTCTCAGCTGCTGTAGGTCATGAGATTTCTTAAGGAGCCTATACCCACGCTTACCCTAGCTGGCCCTAGCTGCTTGTGGGTGTTCGTCATCTAGTTGTGTCACCCTAACAGTGAAAGGTGGAGGCAAAACCTGGAGCCCGACCAGTCCACCATGTAGCGTTTGACCTCCGTAGGTCAACCAATCCCGGTGCCATGACCCACAGCCATGTGTTTCTTGAAGTCTGGCAGTGCAGCCGATGGATTTCACACTGAAGACCCCCACAGTCCAGCGAGGACACATGTTTTCACCACTGGTCTCCATGGCTGGACTATCCAGACTCATCGGGTAGTGCCTGAAAGATCAGGTGCATTTACTGCAGGGTGCCGAACCCTTTAGAGGAGGGTACAGTGGCGCGAATGGAAATGGAAATGGAAAATGGATCAGGTGCATCTCCTTGTTTTCATATTAATGTTTGGTTCCCACCAGTCCCTGAAGCAAATCCAAGATGGACACGATCTCCATGATGGACATGGGAGAACCCCAGCCTTGAACCCCGCCACAGCTCGACGTCCTGATCGCATCGACTCCCGACTCCACCAACCAACGACCAGTTCGAGCAACCCGTCGCTGTTCCAGGTCGACCGATGTTCTTCCACGGAAACTCTAGCTCGGCCGACTTGCAGTGGTGGTGGTGGGTCCAACTCCTGATCGTTGCGCTGCTCGGCTCGGCTACGCGCTGCGCTCAAAGTCGGACTTGACCGGCGGTGAAAACCGAAGGAACTCGGAAGCCGAGACGCATCGGAACCAGTCGGGTGGCTTTCGGCTGAAGGAAGGTGAGATGACCAGTCGGCTTCCAGGTTACACCAGCCATCGAAGCATTGCGCATCTAGATGTTGGGAGAATGTCTCTGATTGATTAGGCTCAGGATCACCAGAATCAAGAATTTCAAGGTTTGGGGTTTAGGGTGAAATATCATCCGCATGTGATGGTTTGCACCAGATGGTTTGGGAATACGCCTGGGCTAGAGTTTGACCAAAACTCTCGAATTTGGACCCCCATCGCCTGGCCCCGTTGGGGCTCGAATGACCTCCGAAGACCCTCAGACCAATGGCCTGGTGTTCACCTCGTGTTGGCCCATGATGATAGTGCGACCTCCTCAAGGGCGATATGTCTTGCCGGACGAAGTAAGGGTGATCTTCCTCACAAATTGGTGGGGTGATGTTCCTCATGATCGTCAACCTTGAGTCCTCACAGAGGTAGCCCGGCAGATAGTCATGGACAAAAGATGACCTTCCTCTAGACTCTATACTGAATTAGCGGCTTGTCCCGGACTAGCCGCAGTTTTGCACAGGTGCAACTCGGTGTGACTCAAATGGCAGTTATTTGAAACTGTCTATCTTGTCGTTGGAAAAGTACATCAACTATGATCAACTACTTCAGTTGCTGCCTCACTTTGAGACACACCCCATGACAAACACACCTGGAACCACTTCTCTAACCACTTCGAACGGCGTGCAAACGGCGATGCCGAGGTTATATTGCATTTTAGCTTCCTGGAAAGCGATCCGATGGTGCAAAGCTTTGGACATGCGGGACCGTCGACCAGCGGACCCGGGACATGGCGACGGAACTGGCGGCGGTTGGGCGAAACGAAACATGTGACATGTGCTCCAACCTACTAGCGATGGCCTCCTAAAAGCAATGGCCTCCAACCCAAAATAGAAAGACCTCCCAAAGACCTCTTGGAAAAAGGGACCTAGCCAGGGCCAGGGGGTCTTCCTATTAAGATACACACCCATGTGCCTGGAGACCTCTAACAAAGAATGGACCAGATGCTGTAAGACCCCATTGTATTGGAATGGAATGCATCGTTTCCTATCAAGGCAACCCCGTTTTACTTTTGGGATACAATGAAGGTTGAATGCGGAATGTGTTTGTTTGGTGTTGGAGGAGCATTTCATAACAGAGCTTCTCATCATATATGGGGTGTTGGAGATTGGCTATCGACATGAATCCCACACATTCTTCTCACAATTTGACATTCACCAATCCCTTCAGACTGACCAAAAGCTATCAAAAGCTCGTTTTGAGATGCGTCCTCGCCGTTCCACGCGTGCTCCGTACCGTGCGTAGGAGGCGTGGGCTTCGCTGGAGAGCCGACTATTTACACGGACCTTCTCCGCCGTGGTGCCCGAGGAAGACGACCCCATCAGGCCTTTCTCGGTGAGGAACACCGAAACGGGCGCCCAGAGAACAGGTTGTTCGAAGGTGAGAGTGAAGCAGCTGGGTTATATAGTAGGTGTTTCTGAATTTCATGTAGTTTGCAATCAAAATATAATCTTACTGTAGTTGCACTGTAGCTTCTTGGAGATACATGATGATACCAAGATATGCCAAGTCTCTTGAACAAGCTTTTGCGGAAAGAGGAAGACACGATCGTCAAATGCTAAGAGCTGGACGCGTTTGCTCCCCCGAAAACTCTCAGCAAAAAGGTCAGTAGAAACGGCGTCAAGGCATCCCTTTGATGGAAGACCCGACGGCAGTTGTCCGAGCTTTGTTGAAGCTGCCTCAAAACAAAGCAATGAATCTCCTGGGTAGTTGTGGTTGGAACGCCTTGGCTCATGTTCATGTCTCATAACTGCTGACAGAGCTGCTTGAGGGTGACCTCATCTCAGTTTGGATTTGTTTTGAAAAAGTACCCTCCCTCCAACAATCATGGAAGTGGAAAATACTACAAACAGGGGATTGTCCACGTCCATGGTTTGTTGGAGAGAAGGTATGTTCTCCACTCCAAGGCAGCCTGCCTTCGCCATTCTGAGGGGTGTGTGTAGGTGTGTGAAAGGACAAAGTGAGTCCCAAAAGCAGGAGCACCGGTGCAAAATCAGGTGATCAATCGATGATCCAAACCCATCGATGTGCCACGCGGGCGCTTGGAAAATCGATGTCTCGCATGCGCTGGATGCAGGGAAAAGAGCTACAAGATGCAGCTGGATGGACTTGAATCAGAGATCGCTTATGTGTCCCTCACACAGGCGCGGGCGAGCGAGTTGGACTGTGGACGGTGAAAGCCCAGACAACGAACTGGAATAGGTGCTGCCCCTTTGACCCCTTTGACCTCCGCACTCTATGCTGTTGGGCATGTCCCACGTAACAGTCGGTTTGTAAAAGAGTATGACGACTCTGGAGAAAGGCCTGCAACCTAAGCATCATCCACCCCAGACACTCCATGTCTAACATTTGCTTACATTGACCCCCCTGGCACCACCCCAACTGATCGGCATATATGGCAGTCCCATGGGTCGCGTTTGGGCACTGAAACCCTGGTTTTGGGATGCGAACAACGGAACCTCCGAACCGCCAAGTTCTTTCTCAGACCGATGTTCATCGAGCCCCGCTGGGTTCCCGGCCGGCAGTGTGTGGTGTGGTGGGTTCGCGATCTCACCTTTGCCCCACAAAGAGAGTTTGAGGCATGTTAAGGATGTTAAGGGCACAAAAAACGAGGATCAAACTTCAGGTTCACAAGTAGAACATTGATTAAAGCCTATCACCATGAATTGAGATCACACCAGCTCTACAAAAGCCAGAAATCGCGGATTTTCAAGCTTCAGTGATTCCCCACACCTGCAAGTCCCCATCTCCGAAACGTCTATGAAGCGTCTTATGTCTGGTACTTCCATTGGTCCAACAGTCAGTGGCCCCAAGGTCATCGCCCCATTCTGCCTCTTCACGGTGGTCATGTCCTTGGGAAGCCGCTGGACCTCGAACGTCAGACGGCCCGTCGGACCAGGTCACATGGCCCGTCGGCCTCCGGCGGGTCAGACGGCCCGTCGGTTGACCAGGTCATAGTAGTCCATTCTGTGCATCTCGAAAAACCGGCAGGTCCCCCACTGTTTTCAAGACCGGCAGGTCCGGTGAAAAGATCAAACATGTGAACACCGTGGCAGGTTTTGGTTTGGGTGTGTTGTTCTTGGGTCTGCTGGTCATACTTCTTGTTTGTATACCGATATAGAGCATATAGTTTGCGCAGTTTGTTGTTGGTTCTTGTTGCAGTCTTCTCCAACCGTCGCATTGCTGTGTTGTTCTTGCCGCTCTTGTTCGTCGTGTGTCCTACCGTATACCTATATTGCAATAGTTCTTCTCCGAGTTCTGTTCTGTTTTTCTCATTCTGATGTTGTGTGATGTTGCATGCATGCTTGCGAATGCCCTCACCTTCTCTAGCGTTCTTCTTCTTTTTGTGGCTCCTTCTTTCCGCCGCACAGAGAACATACAGGTCGGCCTCTGCCTCCTTCTTTGGCCTTGATCCGAAGATGGGTCCGTTTTTTGTGTTTGCTGGCGTTCCGCTGGAGGTGATTGGTTCCGGAGGGCACCGATTGAGCACCCTGAAAGAGTCCTAAGAGGTCCATCTCAACGGCTCCATCGCAAAAAGAGGTCAACGGCTCCAGTCGTCTTCTGGTTCCAAAGGACCGGAGTCGGAGTCAGGTTCCATGTGTCAGTGGGACCGTACGACTCCACCACTCCAGTGTGGAGAATCACTGTGAATGTGATTGAAACTACCAGTCAGAGCTGAAACAAAATGGCAAATCATACCCAAAAGAAGCGCAGTAGTTACTGTTTTGACTGACAGTTGATTGAAAACAACGAGGAGATCAGTGAGATCAGGAGATAATTGAATATAGACGCTGTTGCCTCGGAATGTCCTGACACAAACCCTAGATCAGTTCATACCTGGCCTGGACTGTGTTTTTTCTAACGTAATTCTGGTGACAGGATCATGGGTTGCAGACTCGGCATTTAGATGGGAGACAAAAGATCTACAATTGTTTACAATGTAAGAATTATGGTTCACCAAACGCCTGGTTTTTGTTTGGATTTGAGCCATTTGGACGTGTACCAGAACAGGGAGACCTCCAAAAATACACACACACTTTGTCCTTTCTCGGGTGATCAAATGAAAAAAGCTCGGGGGGGGGCCTCAATGCTTTGGTATTTGGACGCACCTCCCTGTATAAGTATTTTGATTGTGCCAGGAGTTGCTTCGTTGGAAAGGCGCGCTTAAATATATAACTTATAAGCATACTGCAGCATACTTAAGCCACCCACGACCAACTAGTGGCACTAGTGGTGCGGTGTATGATTATACTCCCAGATTCAATCAACTTGGCGGACAACTGTCGTTTAAGAATCTATATTGGGACCTTTGTGCTTCTACTTGTACCAGGAACTTGCACATGTTGCATGTTGTTGTTCTCCTTGGCCATGGCATAACCTTCACTGAAATTCCTTTGTTGACCCGCCTTGCTTTTCAGGGTCTCATCGCAACATCTTAGAGCTGGTCGATGCATTATATAGGTCTCCCTTCGTTGTTGCTTCATTTAGATGCTTCACTTGACATAGGAAGGCGAGTGAGCCGACCCCCAATTATCAAGGCGACCTATCTGCCAACTGAGGGAATTTGGATCTGGATTTGGAGAACATGGGTCTCGTCTTCGGCGACACCAACACCATGCCGCTGATCGTCACCGGCATCGTTTGGTGCAGAGGCCCGTTGCCCCAAAGACCGGTTTGGACCGATGAAACAGGTGGAATCAGAATGACCCGACCAAAAGGCTTGGACCCTGCAAAAACGACACAGATGTTGTCCCTCAATACATCTCAACAACGCTCCGATCTCCACGGTTGACCAGTGAACCAGCTGGTCACTTCGGAACCTGATGCGCACCCTGTCGAGGCATCCCACCCAGTCGCATGATGCGCATCTCCATGTGGCTCCTCCTGGCCGCCTGGTTCGGTGCCTCGGATTCCTCCGAGCCCGGCTGCTTCGCTGCTTCGGCGCCTCGAGATCCCTTGGACCGGTGGAGAAGGTCCGACGGGCGACTCGGATTCCTTCGAGGGTCAGATCAGGTCTCATAAAAAAGGTGTCACCTGACCTGAACAGATCTCTACAGGTCGCGCTCCGAGATCCCTGGCTGAAGGAAGACTTCAAAGTCGCTCCTTTGGTGACCTGTTGGGGGTCCAGGTACTCGTAGATTGATGTTGAATTCATGGCATTATGACAGGTCTCCAGGTTTTTTGCAGCCTTGTTGGAGGTCTCAATTGGTGAACTGTGAAGTCGGGTGCTGGTCTATATATACATATTGTGTATATATATATATACTTTTCCGGTGGTTGACAAGGTGACTCTTGGGTGATCTTGACTTTGAGGATCTTTTAGCTTTGAGTGTATTATTGTATGATTGCCTTTTGCATCCTTTTGCCCTTAAGGTCGGAATTGTCAGGGTGTCTTGATCGAATTCGTCCATTGGCAGAACCATGCAGCCCAGCCGAACCACTTTTCGAACAAAATCACGGTCGGTCCCTGCAGACGATGTCAATTCTGACACGATTGGGAGGGTGTTCAGTGACACATGACTCAAAGTCAGACTCGGTTCATCAAGAAACCAATCACAACCGCTAGCGTTGGCAGGTTTTTGACTGCTACGTAGCCTACGGAACCGGCGCAGCATCGGCACCATTGGAACCAGTGTTGTTTCGCATTGTTTCACCACTGCCCATGTGCTTTGTTTTAAGCGGTTAAGGTTTCTCTTTCAAGTGTGCAAACTGTACCTTCACCTACACTGACAGCCTGCACATCTACTTCCAGATCTTCCAGCGTTGGGTAGCCTTCTCCGCATCCGCATCCGCATGTGTCACCTGAGTTGCCACCCTGGTGTACCACCTGGTGACCTACAACTGGCGCTTCATCGAAGAAGTTTGGCTGAACCATATGGTCTTCGTGACCGTGATGTCCTTAGCACCTCGGAGACCGAAAACGAAACGGAGCTTTCCACCGTGTGTGCCGAAGAAGTCGCGTGGGTCGCGACGCGGCCGCGTGGGAGTGTTCCTAAAGCGGTAGTCGTCAAAAAAATTGGCCACCTGCGAATTTGTGATGTTTGGGGGTGACCCGAACGAACAACGTGGGTGACCTTGAGATGCTTTGCCAAGATGAATACCTCAAGACTTGGTGAGATTTTCTCCACCTGTCAGGTGGAGGTTGTTAGATTTTACCCTCTCCTCTCCGTCTCCTCGCCTGACCTGCCAGCTCCAGATCACAGTGGGCACTCCCAGACCTCAACAGCAAGCTCCAGATCGCAGTCCGGACCTCAACAGCGAGCTCCAGGTTCCAGTGGGCAATGTCGGGCCTCAACAGCAAGCTCCAGATCGCAGTGGGCACTATCAGACCTCAACTTCATGATCCGGACCTCAACTGTCAATCCGCATGTCCCTTTTGCAGGCTAGTCTGTCAACACATGTGCTAAGTCGCCTTTTCAGGGGAGATCGCCCATTAGGCAACGCGGATTTTGCATTTCAGAACACTTCAATGTGTTTCAGCAAATCCTGCCCCTGTGGCTTCATCTCCCTCCAAGCACTCCTCTTGGCGCCAGTGGACCCGAATAGGGCTTGCTCCTTGGTATCTTGCCCGTACGCAGCCTTCCTCGCACGCGATAGACTCGGACACGCTCGAGAGGTGAAGTGGACGAGTGGAACAGAGGAACCCCTCATAAAGGACATGATCATACCCGATCAGACCGGCCTGCTGTGAGTTGGATTGCCATGAGTGACCAGAAGAATCTCGAATAACATCCATCAACTCCCCAGAAATGTCAACCTGAAACCGGAAATGTCATTGCGAGGAGTCTGTCCAACCTGAAACTAAAAGCACAACTGAATGGAAGTCTGGAACCAGAACATGTGAGAATGTGAGGCTCTTCAAGTCCGGCGGTCCTTCATCGTGGCCAGTATGAACCTGGGCGTTTTACAGATCCTGTGGGTGAGGTTTGCGGCTTAAAGTTTCTATGATGAATATGTGTGTTTGGTATTTGTTTGTCTATATATTATACAGAAATATTTTGAGATGCATCTTTGTTTGGTTAATCGCCATTACCATGTATCTCACACGATTCTTCAGTCTTTTTTGATTAGGTACCTGGGGGATCCAGCAATCCAAAGCCGACTCAGCCAGAACCCGCCCCTAGAGGCATAGGCCTCAGCGAGATCCTTCCCATGTGAACATATAGAACTAGGTGCTTGATTGAAGTCCTACTCCAAGGGGCGATGATCAACAAAGTAGCAGAACTGCAGATGCTTCGGAAGACTGTCTTGGAGCGCCACTCGTGCCAAGGGTGCTTCACACCTGCTTCTTCTTGTCACTGTGGCTTGGCACCCGAGCCTCCAAATAGGGCCAACGAATGGGCCATGGCGGAGTGGCAGGAAATGGAACTAAATGTTCGGCCTGAGATTGATGCCACAGCCAACACCTGCTCCGGGAAAAGCGGATCACCTCGCCAGCCTTTTTGGGGAATTGGGGAGAGTGCAGAGCAGCTGGTTTTTTGTAGAACATCATTCGTCCAGGGCCTAACGATGTTCCATTGTTTTAGGAAGGGTAAACAGAAGATGGATTACATACATGCATGTAGGTATGACCACCTCGAGTCTTATCTTGAAGAGTTTGATTGATGCCTGCTGTGTGGGCTTTAAGTCCTCACGGCCAATCCTATCTTGTGATAGGAATGCACCTTGTCGCACCTTCTAGGTCCAAGACATCTGGGCCGCATCGATACCGTAGTCCATTGCAGTCCCACTCGTGTTGCAAGCAGTTGGTAAAAGCATCGTCAAAAAGAATCCTCAATCCGCAACACGCAGTCTCCCTTGAAGTCTGCATCGGAGGGCTCGGAAAGCCTTTGAACCGAGGGCCAGCCCTGAACAACATATATATATATAGGATCTTCAATCCGTTGGCGTTTCCCAAGTCAACAATCCTATGCCGCCTATGCCTATACCTCAGACACACTGTGTATGGCATACCTACATTAGGGTGGTTGGTTTTCAGGGGTCTTTCTGGGGCAGCTCCAAGCTATTCCGCCCCAAGTCTCACCTGCAGACTGCAGAACAAAAGAAACTTGTCAAACAAGTTGGTTCAATGACTTGAAGCCCACGCCTTTGTGAATACCTCAATTACATTCAATTGCCGTACTCAGTAGGTCCCAAGATCATCAAGATCCATCTATTTTCCGCCAGGAGTTCCCCCTAGGCCTCCGGCCTAACATGGTAAGCATGTTCAGCTCACGTATAGTAATTGCATGTGTCTATTGTGGATTGCAGTCTTTAAAGAGAAGCTGAACTCATGCCGAACTCGGACGATTCTTCATTTGCCACCTCTATAGCTCCGTCACGAGGACCTTGATCAATGGCTCCGAGATCTACGTCGATGGCGAGAGGGTGGTAGGCCCATCCCCAGGCTCGCAAGTCTTATTAGTGAGCACCTTGGCCAGATGTGCTGGTCATTGCGCACGTGTCTGCGCGCGCACGTGTGTGGGTTGTGTGTGATTGCTCACAGCGCTGCGCTCACTTATCGTCACACTTGTTGAGTCCAATTGAATGGAAGTTCTAGGCGGATGAATGGTCCTAATTTGCAACAGAAGGTCCTCCTTTGCATCGACATTTCATGCACTACCTGCAACCACCTATAACCAGAATGCCTCATCTCAGCTGATTTTCCATTTCGCCATCCCATTCAGCCAGACCGGTGTAAAGCCATTCGGTCGGTTAGCCGTCATGCGTCATCCATCGTCATCCGAGGTTTGGTGGTGCTTTGCATCAATTATAGCCAGGTGCGGAATGGATTGGGTCAGCACGGGTTTCCGGCAGCTTGAAGGTCAGTCGAAGCAAGTCGGTTTGGCCCATAGGCTTGCTTCCCATTTTTGTTGACTTGGCTTCCATGTTGTTGGTGTAGACCCCAGACCTTCCATATGGGACTGGCCACCTTTATCCATCCAACGTCGACCGACTCCATTGGGGGGTCGGTTTTCGTCGCCATTTTCAGTGGTTGGAAACAATCGCCCATGTCACTGGTAGACACGAATGTCCCTGGTCGAGAAAAAAGGACTAACAACTAAAAACAGTGGGCGAGATCAACTGCAGGTGCAGATCAATGTATTTGTTTTGGTGACGGACAATCACGGACATCATGAAAAAATGTGACGGACAAACGATGTTCTAAGTATCTCTAAGTGGTTGTCCGGAACAATGTAGAGATTTCGGTTGGAGCTGAGATTAGCAGCAGCTCTTTGAGATGCGCACAGCTCTGCACAGAGAGCACCACAGCACAGGTGCTTTCACAGATGGTTTCGAAGAAGGCCAATGCGGAATACAACTTGGCCGCCTGGCTTTGGAGAGAAGGATGTGCATGGGTCAGTACGTGAGAATGACACAAGGACTTTATACTTGAATATTCTGGAATGATATGGAATGATTACATATACAACATAGTATATTCTATAAGTATATAACTATATAGTTAATTAATATATATATATACAGTATGACAAACAAGTTGTCAGTCCACAATGTCCACATACAACATCGTATGCCTGAGATTGTCATGGGATTGGTTTTGGGGTTTGCAGCCAGTCTGCGAGTCGAACTTCACCGAGCATCGGGATCGAAGCGTGTCTCATGTCAGAGCCGCGGTGTCTCAGAAAGTTCTCGGTTTCACATGCATCAAGATTCGTACTTTGCATCAGACACTTGAAGTTTTGTGGATGATGAAAGCATGCGGAAACTGCCTTGTGTTTCACATTCTCTCTGGTCCTTCATGCCACCGTCTTGCACAGTTGCTCTTTTGCACCACGTTGTTGTTCGAACCCAAACGTCCAAGGTCCAAGCAGAGGTGCTGCGCGTCACCATGGAAAAGAGGGCCTTGGATGCGGAGGAGGAGCGAGCTTTTGCATCGCGGAGACAGAGCTTTTGCTGACATCCGCAATAGATTGCAAAAGAGGTCCAGGATCAAGGTTTTTCGGAAGTTGCCTTGCCAGCAGTGTTCAAATTCTATTTGCTAGTAATTGCATTTAGAGAATTCCTACTATAATCGAGTCTTGCTTGTTGCTGTTCTATCATTTGTTGGTTGAGTCTGCTGGTTGGACATACTTGTAGGTTCTTTTAAAGTTCATACAGTCATACCTTCTTGGGCTTCCATACGCGACCAGAATCCATCGGATGCTCGCGTCCGAGTCCGGCCGTGCCTTGACCGAGTGACACGGACCTAAAATGACCGGTGTCACTATTGGCTTGGAGCGAGGGTGTGAGCTTCGTGAGCTTTAAATGGCAGACCTGCTAAACTGAGTCTTCCTGGACGCACTCACCAAAGCTCCAAACCTCACTAAAACACCATAAGTCAACTCCTTGTTTGGGCCAGAAGTTGTTTAAGCAAGTCGGTGGTCGGTGAACATTTTGTTTTGTGCCAAATGGAGAGTCTGAACGGGCTGAAGAGCTGGTGCAGAGGGGGGTCTTCACGCACAGGAGTACTAGACAGTAGATTGTCTAGCAATTGTTGTTCACCTAGAAGCTATGGGAGGAGTTTTGACCTCACACTTATGTTCTGTGGTGTTCTGTCCAAGAGTACCCTTGTAAAGACGGAGAATGAGGACCTTCTTGAGCACTCCTTTGGTCTCAGGTTCGACGAACACAGAAGTTTGAGGCGGAGATATTGCTTTAAGTCCTGAAAGTCTCAACTCATTCGACTCGCCCCTTTTGGTCGCCCTCATTCGACTGACTTCCCCCGTCCCCCCAGAGAATCGAACAGAATCGGTTGGAGTCCACCTTCCTCCGCCCTCCGCCTTGGAGTCCGCAGAAGGACCACAAGGCTAGTGTGTTGGGAAGCAACAAAGAAAAGGAATCGACACTGACACCTGCCAATATCGGTTCCGGGGTCTGACCCGGCTGGTTGAAGCCCTTCGTGCCAGGCCTCACGGCAGAAGGAGCAGGCCGCCATCCTGGCACGCGCGGAGCAAGACGCCAAGGAGGTGCGCGTTTGAGCTGCGGAGATCATCGAGCAGAATCGGATCCATGGTTGGTTGGACAGAGAGGGGAGAAGTATGATACAGTGGTTTGGCAAACCCTAAGGCCCTATAGGATGTTTTTTAGATAAGGGTCCATATAAATCACCTTTGGGGGATTGTGCCATCTACTCTCAATCCACTAAAAGTTAACAGTTTACTTTCATGAAGAGGGCAGGAAACCGCAGCTGGACTTCGGGATCCTTTGGACCATTTGGGATGCATCACTAGATATCTTCCATGTCCGTCCAAGGCCACAGACAGAGAGATTGGGCTGATCTGGACCTCCAGAGTCGCAGCCAAGAGCCGCAGGATCAATTCTTCCATTTCCACTGTCATGATTCATTCCTTTTCCTCAGATGTCTTCCATGAACCTCATCATACCTCATCCCCAGCCAGTGATTTGCCTTGAACCATCTTGAACCTATTAGGCAGTTGGACCGGAGATGCACAGACCAGGACCCCCCAGGACCCCCGGTGTGTAATGCTATAGCCTCGAAACAGGTGGTTTTCAGAGGTGTCCACTCCCAACCAGATCTCGCCCGGCAAAACTTGGGATCCCCGTTTGACGACTCGTCTTTTCCGGAGGCGTCTGGAGGCGCACCTTCTCACCGTCTCACACCTGGCAGGCGCTGAACCAGGCAGAGAAAGCAGACGATCGGCGTGTGGCCGCCGAGGCGGGACTGTTGCTTTGTTCTTTTTCGGGGTGCGTCACGCACCAAGCAGCCTTCCCACCCTGGTTCCTACCAATTGAGTTGGACAGTTACTTCAGAGTCCAACAGATGGATTCATCATCACCGTCCAGGCAAATGCGCATCTCATCCAGAAGATGCACGACGCCATGCAGAACTTGCTGTTGATGCTTTGTGACGCCGTGGTTGAAGTGGACAGCGCCCCTGGGCAGAAATGTGCACGGAATCAATTAGAAGAGTAGTCTTCGAGGGTGCCAGCATACAGAGATGATCCCCCACATTGGGGTCGAGTCGCCTGTATTTGATTGTCCACTATTATATGGAATTGAAAAATACCGCTCAGCAAATCAAGTCCAGACAAATACATTCATGGGCTGCTTCGCTGCGGATCCGCGAGTCATCAAGGGAAAGATGCAGCAGGCAGAGGATGTCGGTGTCAAATTCAGGTGGTGTTCTTTCCGATCCGCTTGAAAGACTGCGTGTGAAACCTGCGGTTGAAAGGCTGCGTGTGAAACCTATGGTTTCTGCCGTGGTCTGCCAATCATCTTTGAACTGGCAAAGCCAGGCCACTGAGGTGTTTTCGGAACCTCAAAGGCCTCGGTCACCGGGATTCACCAGGCCTCCGCAATCAAGCTTCGTGGTGGGTGAAAGTGTGATGGATTCATGGTGCATTAGTGAAAGACTTGAAAGAGCTCTGAAGAGCTCCCTATAGCACCTCTCTAGTGATATGGCACATTATGGCACCATCACGATCCCAGCTTGGGAGTTGTGAGTTGTGACGGCCTCACCTTCTTCTAGCCTGCTGAGGAGCTGAACATCTTAGACCAGGGGAAGCTGGGCTTGGTGCTCTACCAGCAGCAGAAGGACGAATCTTCACACCGGGAGCGGATTTCAGACCGCGAGAAAGGGAGTCTGAGCCCAAGCACTCCATGGACATCCATGAAACGGCCGCATGGGCACCACAATGTGGGTGAATCAGGGTGAATATGTCATAGATGGAGTATCATGGAGTAGTTCATGGAGTATATATGGAGTATATATGGAGTGTTTGAGTGGGTCTAAGATGTTTTAAGAGCTAAGAGCGACCGTTTTCGGGTTCCCGGATCCAACGGTGGATTCGTGATACCTTCATGTGGAATCCTGGCCAATCAACGGTTTCGGTGGCACAGCTCGAGCCGAAAGGACTTCGGTGTTTTTCGGATGGCACCGCTCAATCGAATCGAATGGCACGGCTCGGAAGAACTGTCAGGATTTGAAGGGCCGGTGCTTGATGGACTTTTTGCGACAGGAAGATGCTGAACACTTCAAGGAGCGAGTGCCTCGGCTTGCCTCGGCTGCCATACAGTGGCACAGTGGATTGGAGAAGGCATGATGCATGAAGCATCCCAACAACTGCAGGGACAACGGGTGTGTTCTGAGAAAATGATCACGAGCTTCAAAGAAAGATAACCAAGTAGCCAGAATGCTGTGTGGGTTCTTGACACTAAAACCACCCCCCGATACGAACTCGAAGAGCTCAAATCCCTGTTTGATTAAACCCATCCTGAGATCGGGAAGACTGAGCCCTTTGGAAAGAGGGCGGGAAGGATTGATACTTGCTGCTTCCATATCTTTGTATGGCCCATCCCGCTGAGCCCGGTCCTCAGCCGCCCTTTCCTGAGCCCTGCGAGTGGGACACATCCGTCAGGTCCGTCAACAGCCCTGGTGCCTGGTCCAAAAACACCGATGGAGATAGGTTCGACGTCCCCCTCAATAGGTTCCGGTTGCCTCCATAACGATGTGTAGCTTCAATAAGGAGACCTCCAAACATTTCATGACCCCCTGGAAGGTTTGGACACTTGCACAGTCTACCCAGCCAGGGGCGAGCAGGGGGCCAGGGGTTCTTCCTAATTGTTGTAATACACCCACAAACATGTGACATAGGAATCCTTGCTCTTCTTCGAGATGAAGTCCAGAGCTCGTCAACGCCCATTTTACCCGTTTGCTTTCGACTCGCTGACCACACGAAGGTGGATGCCTCTGAAAAGCAAAACATCCCGGTCTCTGCCGGGCAGCTCAGTTTGTGCTGGTGAACCAAAGCGGTTGGATCATGTTGGATAGATTGATAGTTGGTTGGATGGTTGGATAGATGGATGGAATTCATGGATGGATAGGTTGTGCTGGGGTGTGTTTGTGTGAAGAGTAACTTCTTGCAGGAGTGTCTTCGGGAGCAGAATCACAATTCGACCGATCTTACGGTTTCAGACATTGCTATATTATTCAACCTCTACTTGAAATGATTGATCCCGCTGACTTGTATTTTGCAAGTGAGTTGCAGTCACCAACCTGAATCGCCAGAGCTCCCATCGCCACAAAAGCCGCACTTGAACAGCTTCTACTCAGCTTCTTCTGCGGAGCGGAAAGCGCGGTGTCACGGCTACTGTAGGTCACGATGATCGGCTCCTACTCGATGAAGATCCGTGTCACGGTCTACTCAACACAGATTTGGCAATCCGATGGCTCTTGTGCCCCGGTGTTTTCCAGATCTGTCCGACGCAACACCTGTAACACAGAGCGTTCGCGTTCGTCGTGCAGTTTTCCGGTTCCGGGTGAATATGATGGGACGTCGCAAAGAGATTATTTTTGCTCGATGTTGTTCGCCTGTTGATTTTAAGGTCTATACGGTCTATACGCCATCTATATTCTTACATTGAACTCCAAGCAACACATCTAAGCCAAATGCCGCATGGACTACTTGATATGCTATACCTTCTAGTTCTTCTGCGGAACGGTAGGTTCGTTACTGGTTTACTGTGTTACTATGACCGCAGATACCTTCTTCTTCTACCTCATGTGACCCAAACTCCCTCGGAGGATGATCCAAATCGATCAACTTGAGTGAGTGTTTTGCCCCTGGTTTCCTGACCTCGGGCGTCGCGGCGTCAATAGAGTGTTGCCGTATACCTCACCAAGCACCCGACCTCCTGGACATGCCCTCCCCAAGTGGCTGAGCCCTGGTGAAAGCCATTTGGCCGTGTCAGGCACCTACGTCCTGGGAATTTGCGAGTCGGAGGAGTTCAGCCAGAAACACCTGACCAGTGAGGCTGAGGCACCCGCCCAATCGCTCGATGACACCGCCCAATCGCAGAGGCAGTCCACCTGGTAAGATGGTGATGTCAGGAAGCACAGAAGGACCTTGCTATGGCAGTACTGGGCAATTTGGGTCAATGAGATGTTAGATCGATCTGGTATGTCACCCCGTTAGAAGTCAAGCTAAAACATGGAAGTGTTTTGTTTGTGGTTTAGTGACCCGCGAAGAGTTTGTCGAAGTCTCCAGGGGACTTCAACACCAGCTGCTCGGCTGACAAGGAACAACTCCTAACTTGTCAATATCAAACGCTGTTGGACTGCTCATTCGAATAGTCCTTTGCTTGGGAAATCCTCCACTCCCAACATGTGTAGCTGCCTGATAATGCCCTCAAAGAAACCGATGTGCCTCTCAAATTCTGCCATAAGTACCTAGAAGTACCTCTAGTTGTCGTTGAACGGCTCCTTTTGCCGCAAGATTCGCTCGCTTGAAAGTTCGAGCTCTCCGGTCCGGTCTTTGCACCTGTATAGACAAGCACAATCACTCGAAGCACAGTAATATCTTGCATACTTTTTCCTTGACATCTCGATTTGTCCATACTTCCTTCTCGAGGTATATTGGTCTCTAGTCTCTACTATTTATTTGTTGGTCGAACTCTCTATTTGCTCGATCTTGAATTCTCTGTTGAATCGCTTTTGTTCCCCTGTAATTCTACTGCTACAGTCTCACCATTCGCTTCGGCAGCTCACAACACGTTCTGAAAATAACGCGAACCTTTTCTCCGAAGCTGCGATGCGAAGAAGGCGAATGTTCTCACGGTCACACCTCCCGAAACCACGGCGATCTTCGCTTGACACTACCGGCCATTTTGCCCCCTGACTACTTTCAGGGACTCGGTCTGTCAGAGGCTCGGTCTCCTTCGTTGAACGAAGTACTTTTTGGTGCGCACGGCAACGCAACGGTTTCATAGCTCGGAAACGTCTCCGCAAGACGACAAAGTCCTCTTCGAAGGCTTTTCAAACACAAATACTCACACGTGATTAGCAAGAAACTATGGCATGAGCCACTTGCCAGGGAAACACCTCCAATTCTAAATATCTGGAGTCTCAGTTCGTACCTCGGACAATGGGTACGGTTCGGGTCCTGTTTTTGGTTCGGTTCCTGTCCCCTTTTCGGTGCGACAGGGTGATGGTCCGACCTCCCGGACTGGTCAGGAGACACGGGAGACGGACTACTTCAGCCCAGTAGGGTGGAGTGACCGGGAGACTCAGAGGCAGACCGTGGAAACGACCGAGTCAGTGCCGGCGACCTTCCCGGACCGACCGGGAAGTCCACGTCGACCGTTTTTTTCGCTTGAAACCCGTTGGGCGGCGTAGCCTCCCGGTTCGTTCCAGAGAGATCTACGGTCAGACAGTTTAGTTGCTGGTGCTTCGAAGTGTTCGACACGTTTTTTTCGTTTCACCTCATCACTTTGCTTATGCACCTGGAAAGGCGTATGAACACTTTTTTCTGTGCGAAGGCCGTATTTGGACAGAATTTACCGTATGGACATTTTAATTAACGAATTAGCGTATGTAGCCGTATGGACAAAAAAAACAATACAAAAGCGCACCCATATGAAACCCAAACTTTATCAACATTTTATCGACCAAAACCCAAATATTGATAAAACCATATAAAACCCAATCAAACCCAATATTCGGAGGACTTCCAGAAAATTTGTCCATTTGACAAAAAAGGCCGGATGCACGGATTTGTTGTGCGAACGTGTTTGAAAAAAATATGCACATCTGGATTCCCTGGCAACCCCAGATCCAAACATCCAAACAGATCCAAACAGCCTAAGGCGGTGGTGAAACATGAAGCAAACAGCCCCCCTTATCCGCTCGCTTTTTCACCAGATAACCAGCTGGAAGAGAGGGACGTGTGATGTGTGAAGAGCGGGCTCCAGTCCCATACCTTCTCAGAAGATACCTAGACCAGCCCTCCAAACCTATCCCAAGCACCTTCAAAACGGAATAAAACGGAGGTACTTGGAGTAGCTGTTTGCAACCGCAAAACAAACAAATAATGCCCCGTGTTGGCAGGAAGTGTTTGGAGCTGTGAAAAAGCCGTTACCGCGGCCGGTAAGTTTGGGTGTTGGTTTCGATCCGAGGCAGATTTATTGCCAGATGTTTGGGAGAAGACTAGAGCACCAGCATCCCAGGTTGGGAGGCGCACTCTGTTGGGGAATGAATTCACAGCCCTTGGATGCCCTTCGCACCTCTGCAAACTAGTTCAAGCAGAAATCAGTTCGCTGCGGAAGGGAACATTTGTGACATCTGACTACAATTGAAACGTCTTGCATTAACAAGCCTCTCAAGGCCCCGAGAATGGATGAGATGCTTACAAACCTCAGACATCCTAAGACCAGAATCCTTGTGGGATCTCAGATTTTCCTCCAGAATTCACAAGAAACATATCATATTCTGAAGATATCTAAAGGTACTCTGTCCCGCTGCACACGCCCGTGTCCGGATGGCTTGCACTCACCTTTTCGGGGATTCCATTGCATGCATGGCGGCCACCCTTCCGAGCGGCGTCGTCGTTGGCTCGTTTCAGCTTTCATAGGTCGTAAACGGACCTCCTTTGACCGGGTCCGGTCCAAAAGCAGTACTCAATGAGGTCTTACGGACCCACCTCCAAGCCGCTCCGGTCCCCTGTCACCCATCCCATCCGAAAGCGAGCCGTTCGGCCAGGGGTCGTTCAGAACAGAACCCAAACGCCTCAGCCGTTCGGAACGCCTCACAGAGTTCTCCCCAACGCCGACATCTCTGAGATTGGACTAAGGACTCAGAGGCCTCCAAGCCTTCAGGCTGGGCGGCCCTTCAAGGGCCGCGGGGTGGCTGGGTGGAGCTTCACACGATGCAGGTCTCAAAGTCTTCAAAAGAAGCAGTTAGAAAGAACAACTAGAAAATGGGTATACACTCTCTCTCTTAAACAATCGTGTTTACGTGGAGTTCGCCAGCTGTTTGGTATTCGGATTTCATGGTCATCCAAGAGGCCATGCCATCTACTTCCTTGGTTCTTTCAGGGAGTGTACAGTGCAACACATGGGTCATCACCCTCCATCCGACTCCATCTCACGAACAGTCCTCCCCCCGCCTCCGCGGAGCAATTGAACTGCTCCCTATTCAGTGAGGGACACAGCGAGCCAAGCGCCTGAGGGGTCTGAGTCAATAGCAAAGCAACTGCGAGCCGAGCGCCCATGGTTGACATACCTTATACCGTTGGCATGTATTTTGTGGCATTGCGTGGATCAACCAAGTTCGCTTGGACTCATAGCCAAGTTCGCTTCCAACCCTGCATAAATGCACCCGTTTGAGGGCAAGAAGTGACTTGCCCATCGGATCCTCAAAGGCACGACGTTTGTTTCCAGCAAGCAGGCCCTTGTGCACACACACGATGCTTGGGCCCACATCCTTGGGGCTGCCCAAGAGAGCCGCCCTTGAGCGCCCTTGAGTCCATTTTCTCTCAGGGCGGTATCGTTTGTGAGGACCAAACTCCCGAAAACCAGCCAGAGCCAATGATTGTTGCTCTCATTGTCCCAGTCTGTGAGAAAGGAAACGACTTCTCTTTTGCTGCCCAAATCGGATCTTGGCCCCCGGTTTCTTCAAGGCTTTGAGACCCACATAGACTTACCCATCTGACCAGCTATCCCATGACGTCCCTCAGGCTCCGCCGGTTCTCCGGTCGATCTGGCGCCGATTCAGCCCATGGAGCCCGAGGAGCGTCTTCAGTCGCCGCCTGTTCCGAACGTTTGGAGGTTTCGAACACCGAAGGTTTCTGGTTGAGTGCCACAAGCGGATGGCCTCCAAGCTATTAGCAATGGCCTCCACCCTAGCGATGGCCTCCAACCTACTACCACAAGTCTGGTTGGGTGCACAACATGGACTTTATTTGAGTGCCACAATCTGTTGAGTGCCACAAAAAAAAACCTATTGAGTCCCACAATCTGGGTATCCCAGACCTTCCATCTATATATTATAGAGTAGTAGTTACCTACCTTAGGGTCACAAATGGGGTAAATGATGGTTAATGTATTGTATGACTCTTCCATACACATGGAGCATCTGGGCCAAAAAGGAACACTCGGATCACAGAGAGGTTCACTGGGTCAGAGTGGATGAACACCTGGCTAAAGCAGCTGTTTGTTTGAACTAAAATTGGTTGATGCCGATGAACGACACAGGAATGCTTCTCTGGCTTTGGCTAGGTCGATGTTCACCAGGTTTGCTGGTGAGTGTACATTTACCGGGTGTGCCATTATTTTAAATCGTGTTCATATTCTTTCCAATATCCTTGGTTTAAGCTGGGCTGTGCATTTGCAATAAATCAACATGAATACAGTATACGATAAATCAGCACCTATATTTCTCGAATTCTATCTTTTTCAACGAATGGTGGGCCTTTTTCCGGCCAAGCCAGGTTCCAAGCCGCCTTTTACCCTGTCTCATGTCGCCCGTAGTCGTTCATGGGACAGCCTTGACGGAGCCGACCGGGGGCCGCACAGGTTCGATCCTGTGAGGATGTTGTCCCTCGAGAGCTCCAAAGAAGAACTTTTTGTCCCCAAACACAGTGGTCACATGTGGTCACGGTGTCTAATCGAGGTGTTGCACCGGGGTGTCCGGCTAATTCGCTGCTATTTACAGTACATTCATGCCTCGCAAAATCCTCGAAGTGCATTTCGACTGCGCAGGCTCGCAGAATCTGGGTGTCCGCGGCGGGTGCTTGTCGCGACTGCGCTCTCGTTGTGGTGCTGTGCACATTTTCGGACATGGTGGCCACTTTTCTTGGCAGGCGCACGGGAAACCTCGTGCTTTGGTCCAAAGTCGACTTTTAGTGACAGGCGCAAGGGATCGGAGCGGCTTTACTTCGATATGCAGATTTTGTGGCAGGTGCGGCACTTTGGACAAGGTGGGGATCGTCGAGGTGCTCTGATTTCGTGACAGGTGCAGTGAACTGTAGCTTTTGTGACATGTGTCTCGTTTGCAGATTTCGTGGCAGGCACAGCACTTTGTGAACCTCAAAGTGCTGATTTCGTGGCAGCACAGCACTTTGTGAACCTGGAAGTGCAGATTTCGCGGCAGGCACAGCACTTTGTGAACCTCGAAGTGCAGATTTTGTGGCACGCGCAACTTTGTGAACCTGGAAGTGCAGATTTCGCGGCAGGCGCAGCACTTTGTGCACCTTGACGCTCTCGACCTCAAGACCTCCAGAACGCATTCTGTGCTATCTGACGCGCGCTCTCAGATATGCCACTCACTCACTCACTCACTCACTCACTACCACCACCATCACCACGATCACCGCCTTCATCACCCCCATCACCTCTCTGGACCCCAATGAGTCTAGATCTCTAGACTTTCTGCTGCTACACCTCTAGACCTCACACTCTGACATTGGTTTTCAGTTAACTCAATTTCCAGGAGAAATGGCGATGGAACGGAACGGTGCAAGATCAGCTCAACTGGAATGTTCAACAATGTTTACGCATGACTGCAGAAGCACGGCCGCGGCGAGCTCAGCTGCAGAAAAAGGTTTGTGGGAGGAAACATGCAACCACCATGCATCAAACCGAGCAGATTAGACAGCTTGTGCAAACGTTGGTCGCAGGTACAAGAGTTGGCGTCCCAACTCTCCTCCAACTGATTTCCGTAGCTTGGTTGGCACGGATGGGAAATCAGTTTCCGTGCCCCCTGCTTGAAGTCGTAATGAAAAGTGAGAGAGGTAACCCTTCGGAACAGGGCTGGACACACACACGGTGCCGCTTGGCGGCGCTCGCGTGAGAAACCTGAATAGTTACCTAAAAAGCCTTAACGAAAGAAAGAAAGACAGAAAGAGCAGCGCTAAGAGGGCAAGAGAGAAAGATAGGTGTAGAAAAATGAAAAATGAATACTTAGCCCTTGACTGGGGTAGGGAACGAGCCTCAAGAGCCACCTAAAAAGCCTGAGAGAAAGCCCAACAAACGACGAAAAGCGCAAGAAGGAAAAGGGGGGGCAGGGAGGGGGTGTATGTCCATGTGTGTGTATGTGTGTGTGTTTGAATACCTAGCACTCTAGAATTACTGAATACTTAGACGAAGTGAATTAGGTGCACTAGTTGGGGAGCGGGACTTTTGTCTTACACCGCCCAGGTAGAGTAGACTAGAAAAGGGACAACAGAGGGAAAGGCACCGACACACAAGTGTGTCGAGTACCATTTCCCTATGTTACCCTAATTAGGTAGGGAGTAGAACACAGTGGGGGGCGGGGTCGGGAGACCTGCCTCAAGTGGGGGGAATGCCGTTTGTTAAGCCCGGCGGCTGTCAAATTCGTTTTTAAGCCCGACGGCTGTATGAACAGTTAATTCAGGGTGGAAAGGGAGCAGTGAGGAAAAGTCAATGAAGGAAACGACGAGCCAGTGAAATGAATTCCGGAATGAGTACAGCGCCTCCTTGCGGAGGATCACACCCAGCACCCACGTGGGACGGCTGAGCGGGTCACACTCTGACATTGGTTTTCAGTTAACTCAATTTCCAGGAGAAATGGCGATGGAACGGAACGGTGCAAGATCAGCTCAACTGGAATGTTCAACAATGTTTACGCATGACTGCAGAAGCACGGCCGCGGCGAGCTCAGCTGCAGAAAAAGGTTTGTGGGAGGAAACATGCAACCACCATGAATCAAACCGAGCAGATTAGACAGCTTGTGCAAACGTTGGTCGCAGGTACAAGAGTTGGCGTCCCAACTCTTCTCCAACTGATTTCCGTAGCTTCCTTGGCACGGATGGGAAATCAGTTTCCGTGCCCCCTGCTTGAAGTCGTCGTAATGAAAAGTGAGAGAGGTAACCCTTCGGAACAGGGCTGGACACACACACACACACTTTTTGGGGTCTCTTGACGGGATCATAAGCAAAACATGAAGGCAAGCGAAGCGACCCAGAATTTGTGGTGATGTCGGATGAACGATATCCAGGGTAAGTGTTGCTTCAATGGTGTAGGTCTGAGTTACAAGTCTTAGCCACCCCCCAGCTCACAAACTCAGGCTTTTGCCGCTGCTTTGGTCATGGCCGGTCCCGGCCCGACCTGGGTGCTGCGAGACACATCGCTTGGTCGATGAGGTGGGGATGGTCAAAATGGAGGAAAAACAGTTTGAGATCTCGAGGTCTGATGATGTTTTGCCAGCTTTCCTCTCCGAATCCCACTGTGGACGGTATTTGTTCTCGTGGCCACCCATCGACAGTCTTGACATGTCATGTTCATGAGCTGTTCCAAGAAGCGATCGAACTCTTTGGAGGAGCCGATCGATCGAGAAAGGAAAAACATTTCTCCGAGAAAAACCCTCGCAGTGTGGAAATGCGGCGGGTTTTTGGCCCACGTCATCGTTCTCACAGCGGCAGTCGGACCTTCCTCGCCGTGTCCCAAAACATCCCGATACCATTCACCTCATCAAGCGTATACTTACTTGTATAGAACTTAATGTTAATTACAATGGATTGCGGTTCGTTCGGATTATAGACCTGTTTCAGTTTAGCAAAGCTTTCCACCGACCTGTCGGGTCGATTTCTCTTGCTACGAGGCCGTGGAGCTCATCCCCAAGTTGAAAGGCTTAGAGTGCCAGGAGGCTCCACGGTGCCTCATCTGGCAATGCCCTGGCTGTTCCTCGGCCGGATGGCGCCACGCGTGGGTTCAAGAAGGGGAATCTGGAGGAGCGATGGTTGCACCTGGCGCTGCAGAACTCTGACAGAAAGATGGAAGAATGGGTCAAACGCACTTAGCCTTTGCAGGAAGTGAAAGTGTTGGCCCTGCATTTCATGACCACCATGGAACGTTTTGGACTTCTTCTATAAGATTTAAAGGGTTATGAGGGTCCGTCCTGTGCTGTTTGAGGAGGGCTTGATGGGTTTGCCAGAACGTTCAGACAGACTTATACCAGCTGCGGCAAACCTGGAGAAACTTCCAGCTCCAGCTTCTATTCTGTCGACCCTACAGGCGTCTAGAACTTTCTCTTCGGTGAAGTCCGGAGTCGGAACTAGAAATAGCATGAGCTCATGAGCTCCGAACCCAAATCAATCTCTATATATATATAGAGAGAGAATCTATTCACGATTCACATTTGATTCCTTTTTCCATGCATTCCATCCTGAGACCCATCCCAAAACGACCTTTCAGAGGAAAGAAAAGAACGTAGAGCAGATAACAAGACCAACGCAGTACTATACTGTACGGTGGGTTGAGAGTAGATGGCATAATCCCCAAAAGGTGGTTTATATTGACCCCTATATAAAAGATAATCTGAATCCACTGTACTAGGTCCGCTAGGTCAGTCCCCCAACGCAGCACTAGAGCTATAGTTATGTCCTCGTCCCCTGTCCGGACCCTCCACCAGCCTTCGCCTTGCACGAGGCAAGCTGAAGGGCGTCCCAGGTGAGCGCGACTTCTACCGCCCTTTGGAGAAGACGTGCGGCAAATGTGCCTCATGGGACATGCTGCTTTAGGCCAGCCACACTGCGCCCGACGAACGCACGAACGACGCGGCTGGATATTGTTCATGCAAGGATGGATGGCCCGTTTCATGGAGGGCAGTGTCGCCACTGGATTCAGAAGTGCCCCAGAGGGGTAGCTGAGTGAGGTCTCATCCCAATCAGTTTGTCCTCGGGGTCGAATCCAGACGGTCGCCTGATCTCATCCTGTCGTCGCCATGTGATCTGTTGCGCCGGAAAATCAAAAGTCTTGAACTAACATGGAAGTGGAGAATGACCCCTTGGAAGACCATGAATTCCACTACAAACAGGAGGTTTTCCACTTCCATGTTAGTTCTAGGGAGAGAAACAACCTTAGGTGACCGAAGAACCCGAACCTTGGTGGGTATTTACCACCCCACTTTCGTCAATGCCGGGGACGCCCCGGAAACCACTTTCCATCCAAGAGGTGGACAAAGGTGAAGAAACTGGTAACGGGGATGTTTTCCATGGAAACGGCTTCAGAGCTTAAGGTCTTGTTCTATCATGTTCTATCTATGCTGAAAACCGTTTTCATCGACTCAGTGAAGAGGGCGAACTGCACTACTTCAACTCTTTGACAGCTAGGGAGCTTGAGAGGCATGAAGCAACTTGTCTCATCGCCAGGTTTGCTGGGGGGAACTCCTTTGCTTTCATGGTGGGTCCTATGAAAAATCAAATCCCATGACAATCCAGAACTGGCCGATGACACCGGTCCAAAACGGATCATTTTTGCCATCCATAGGGTTCAGTCGCTCTGACAAGATTTCACCAGTCGAACGGTCACAGGCTTCCTCTCGTTCCCCAAACGAAGCCCTGCCTAAAGGCATATCTCCGCTTCTGACCACTTGGTATGGCCCAAAACATCTACCAGTAGTTCCAAAGGAGTGCTTCATGGAGGTTAGGGGGTGCCCATTATCCACTGACTCAGGGATTAAACACCCCTTCGTGATCCATGGAGAAAAGAGAACTTGATTTTTGTCCATGCCCATGGTGCCTGTAGCCAGGCTTCAGCGGCCGCGTTCAGACCGTGACGACCTGATCGGGGCGTAGCACGTGGTTTGGAGGGATCCAAGCCGGGACGTGCGGGCGGATGGTGTTTCTTTGTTTTTTTAAAGCGCAGCATCCGAACTCAGTGGAGTCGAGGCTTTCGGACCTCCTGTTGACCAAGAAAGCAGTAAGGGTAGCTGAAGCATGCTGAAGCCAGATTTCTCTCTCAGAAGTCGAACGATGCGGTGTTTTGCCCGACAAATACATCGAATACATTCTGTTTTGGTACATATGGTCAGGGGATTTCGCTGCAGCACATTCTGTTGGTCCCCAGAGCCAGCACCACATCTCACGCAGCGAAACTTGTTTCAACATTCTGAGATACGCCCGCCACGTGACGACGAAGAGATTGGAATTGTGTACACATCTGTGATGGAACATAGTCAACTGCATGCTTGATTTGGTTCCAACATGTCCCCGTCTACGGTCGTTTGTGCAGTATATATGGCATCCGGGACTGGTGCTTAGTGAATCATCGGGGATTCGTGCTTGGGACTAACATGAAACACCCCGACATGGTGGACAATTGTTGATTGACAATTGACGACTGGAGAGGTCCAGGCTTTCGGTTCTGCTGCCGGTGGCTGGGGATGCAAGTTGCCGGTTGCCATCTCCAAGCATTCCTTCTGTGTTTGAGAAGGTGACCTTGATACTTGTCCAGCATTTGTTTCCTGAATGTCCAACGCAGTTTGAAAGCAATGGTGGGTGGCTGTTTGCACGTGCGCGCGCGCGTGCATGTGTGTGTGTGTGTATCTGACGGGACCCTGCCGTGACCAAACATTGCGCAAAGACACTGGCCTTGACATATTTAATGTCAACCCCGGATTAATAACCCCCCCCCATGGAAGGTCAACAAGGTCAAGAAGGTATGAGATACCACTCATGAGGTCCACTCCCCCTGAATAATGTGCTATGAGACCATTGGACCATGAAGGATGATACCAGGCTTTGAGGGGATGAGCTGATGAGCATGAGGCCAGAGTCCATATAGGAAGCAATGACAGCAATGAGTTCATAGTCATAGGAAGCAAGGGATGAGAGGAATTGGCTGGTAACATTTGGGCTCAGAATGGATATTGGCTGGTGAGCAGGTGAGGTAGTCTCATAAGCCACCATGTGGCAAGAGCTAAGATTGTGGCTAGACGTGTAGGCATTTGCTCATCCAGCAGATTTCAATCAGGCTGCTTGAGGTGTGATGAGGCTAAGTGCCTCGCATACTGGATGAGGAGGGAGCACAAGAGAACTGGCAAGCCCATTGATGCTAAGTATCAGATGGGCAAGCCATGAGCAAAGACTCAGACCTCCTTGATGAACTGAAAAAGAGATGAGCAGCATGAAGTGAGAGTGGCTGAATGAGCAGCATGAGGTGAGACTTGCTGAATGAGCAGCATGAGTTGAGAGTATAATGTCAAGTCAGGATAAGTAAACCTCCACTAGTTAACCCCTTATTAAAAGATATTAAAAGTATATACTCTTTTTTTTGGACTGTGCAGGCTCGGATTAACTGGGGGGGATTGTTGGTAGAAAACTAGACCATAGGGGGAGAAATCAACAGCCAATAATACTTTTAATTTGGGCAATGTCCGGCGGCTTTGTGGGCTCGGGATAACTTGGGGGGATTTATTAATCCTGACTTGACATTATATTTATTTATATACTTGAACGGACTGAGCTGAAGAAGGTTTGCTAAAAAATGGAGTCACCAATGCCGGAAAAAATGGAGTCACCAATGCCGGATGCCTGCTACATTTTCTATAAGTGTACTGCACCTCCAATTCAAATCGTTGAATTTGAGTCCAGGGGTAGATTCTGTCGATATAGTGACCTTTCAAGATAGGATCCTGTCTTCTCGTTTTGCTCGTTGCCCAAACTGAGCAAAAACATCGAACATGATCAACCATGAGCATCCAAAAAGTTCATACTGTTTTCGGAACCTCGGAAGAACACTGGAAAGTTTGTGGAAGTCGAGGTCATTTCGGCTGGTTAGCGGCACTTTCCGCAGGTTGTCAAGAATTGTCTCCACTGTGTTGGTGACAGCACCCCGTTTCAAACCCCGAAGCTAAGTTGGTTTTTTTCGGGGCCACTCCAACGAAGAAGGGTTTTCAGGTGAAACAGATCGCTTGCGAAACTGATCCCAGTTGAAGCCGCGCACGTGGGGTGTGTGAACAGTGGAATAGGATTAGGATTCGAGGTACTGTCGGGAGAGAGCACTGAGAGTGGCTGGTGGAAACTACTGTACATATTGTACATGGTGTTCTTTTAGTGGGTATTGTTATGGCAACTTGTCTAGCCCGGCCCTATACCAGGCCAGTCGAAGACTCGGCCCAAACTTCAAGACTCGGCCGAATGGCATCCACAGATTTAAGCCGATTGGCGCGGAAGTGTTTGTGGCGTCGCTGATTGGCAGCTGTACAGAATTCCGGACGGAGATGTGCAGAATTCCACGGCCGTGGTGTGAACTCCTTCGGCATAGGCCGTTCACCGAAAAAGTCACCTCAAAAAAGTTGCGCAAAAGTGGCGTTAACTGCAAGTGGCACTTGGCGCTTCCGTATGCGTCTTCTTTTTGTCCTTTTGGTTTCGACCGTAAAGAAAGTGGTAAAGCTGGAAGAAGTCAGCTGTTGATAACTCATGATAACTCTTCAAAAGCCAGCTGTACAAATGGATAAAAGGCATACCCTGCGAGTCAAAGACCATAAAAGGAATTATAAGAATTGTCGTCTTTAGGTGACCTGAAAAGGAACTTCCTTTTACTTCAATGGGTCAAAATATAATACTTTATAATGCCACAACGTCATAATATGTTATAAATATATAATAGTCTTTGGACTTTTAGGGAACACAGTCCGTGTAATGGGATGCCACTCCAGAGCGGCAACACAAGAGAAAAGAACCGGAGACGGCATGACGAGAGCAGGTCTATCAGAGCGCAACGCGGTGTCGGTGCATGTACCTTTGATATAGTACTGCCGTCCATAGAGAGGACATGTCACGGACAGCCCCCCGAAGCAATCCTGTTTGTTGGTGGACATTTGCAGAATGAGTGCTGCATCGCAGCTACTTGCAAAACCACAGTTTATTGGATTGCACCTCGGACAGTCCGATGGTTGTAGAGCACTCCTACCTTGTCATTCGGCAGAGAGGTGGTCACCCAAGTAGAGGGTGCGACACATTCGACACATTGGACACGTTGGCACTTTCAGTCCTTTTGAAGATGTTTTCAGGAAAGAAGAGCAACTTCAAAGCTTTATGAGGGTCTATGTAAGATTTGGGTGGTTGTCGACAAACATCCAAACACTTGGTAGATCGACTTGACCCTGGAAGACTTGATTTGCTCATGTTTGGTGGTCAATCGGCTATGATTCTATGATAAATAGTATTCTTAAGTTGTGTCCCGTCACCAGTAACAGTTGGTAAAAGATATTCACCATTTTGAGAAAGGCCTGCAACTAAACCCCCGAAAAAAGTTCAGTGAAACCTGGTTCCATATAATTAGAGTCCTCCTGAAGTAGATAGAATGAGCATATGAACCAATCCCAAAAATAAAAACTGACCCGCTTCTCAATGTTTCTCATTGTTTTGAGATTTTCCCCCATATTCTACTCCAAGATGACTATATACCCATGCAACCCACGCATGTATCATTTATCATCATCCAACGATTTTCGTTGGAACCAGCGAACCCCAAGCTCCACCGGCTTCTCCCCGAGCTCCACCTGAGGCAGCAGCCTCTTGAGCCCGCGCAAACCGGCGCCTGGGCGAAGCACTCCCAGCGACGAGAAATCACAAGTCGACGTGTGTGTTCTTTGGGAAAAAAGAAACACAAAAACTTTGGGGAAAAAGGAAAGAAAACACAAAACGAAACACATGCTTGATGAAGAAGCCGGAAAGAACAAGAACAAGAACGACCAGTATTGCAGGTTGGAGAGTAGATCGTTCAATGCGGATGA